CCCCAAAGCACAAGCAATAATCCCCAAATAGACAGGTGGGATTCATCAGATTAAGAAGTTCTGCACAGCAAAGGACACAGTAATTAGTGTGAATTGACAAACCTTGGAATGGGAGGAAATTTTTGTAAACTATGCCTCAAATAGGGGACTGATAATCAGAATACACAGGGAACTCAAGTGGCTTACCCAGAAGAAAATGATTAACCCAATTAAAAGATGGGAAAATAGCTGAATAAACAACTCTCTAAGGAAGATGTACGAACAGCCAAAAAGCATATGAAAAAATGCTCAACATCCCTCATCATAAGGGAGATGCACCCAGTCAGAATGATGAAGATTGAAAAAAAAAACACACACACAAAATGATAAATGCTTGCAGGGATGTGGTGAAAGGGGAACTTTCTTACATTGTTGGTGGGAATGAAAATTGGTCCAAGACTGTGGAGAACAATATGGAGATTCCTCAAAGACCTTTAAATAGAACTACCATATGATCCAGCAATTTCACTCCTGTGTATCTACCCAAAGGACAAGAGAATGCTCAGTTGGAAAAGCACCTGCACATCTGCATTTATTGCGGCATTATTCATGATTGCTAAGACATGGAACCAACTCAGATGTCCACAAGCAGATGAATGGATTGAAAAGTGTGGCACATATACTCCATGGAATACTATCCAGCCATAAAAAAAAAAAAAAGGACCCTGGCATTTGATAGAAAGTGGACATATATGGAAGATTTATTGCTGAGTCAAGCCAGTCAGGCTATGAAACAGAGACATTGTATGTGTCCTCTTAACATATACTGACTGTCTGCACTCTATGGTAGACTGAAAGACTGGAGGACATAAAAGCATTGAAAATTGTTGTATACACTAGGGACAAAGTGGAAGGAGAATGGGAGAGGGGGGAAGAGTGTAGGAAGGGAAATTTGTGGGACACAGATATGGTTTATTACCTTTTGACAATGATGTGTATAGTATTCTCAACTGGGCTGGTCTAAAGTGTGTATCATGCTCAGTAAAGTCTCTTTACAATCTAAATGATATATAGTGATTGAATTTATAAATAATAGTAATAATAAAAAATATGCTTAACCAAAGGTTGGCTGGCCACTTGTCAGACGTATTTTGAAAACTGATTTTTGAAAAATTCGATCTGTAATTGGAAACCCTTCCTTCACCCAACCTTGTACCTTGGAAAGCTTGAAAATTTGAGAACTGGGACAATGTACATTTCTATGTCTTCCACCTAGATATTCCAATTCATGTTTTGCTATATTTACTTTCTCTCACTTTCTGACTTTTTGACTTAATGAGCCATTTGAAAGGAAATTGTAAACCTCATGAAATTCACTCTTGATTTCTTCAGTGAGTGTCCCCTAAGAACCAGGACTTTGCCCTGTATGTTCCTATCATCCTCTAGATAATGTTCATGGTAGATTTTTTTTTAAAAGAATGATTTATTTACTTTTATTTATTCATTAATTTATTTCAATTTGATCAGAGAGAACACACACACACACACACACAGAGAAAGGGAGGGAGGGAGGGAGGGAGGGAGGGGGAGAGAGAGAGAGAGAGAGAGAGAGAGAGAGAGAGAGAGAGAGAACGCGCCACTAGGTCCAGGATTTGAACTGTGGTTGGCCATGTGGGAGTTTTCCAGCACCTTAACCACCACACCACCTGCTGGCCCCAGTGGATGTTTTGGTTCTCATAAGCCAGTTAGAAAATAGCATCTATTTTTCCTGTGACACAGTATTCATCCAACAAAGTTAGGAAATTTTGCCCTCACAGGAAGCCTTGCTGGAAGGGCTGCTATCTGGAAGGCACTCATTGCAAAGAAGATGGCCCTTCCCTCAGGAACTTGTGGTACTGAGGAAAATTTGGGGAATGAATGTAATAATACATCAAAGTACTCATTAAAGTGTCAAAAATTACTATTTTTCTCTTTGTCTGGTTTATTTTTACAAATAAAATAGGATGAAGGGGATGAAAAAAGTTTTTTTTTTAAAAAAAAGACCACCAGAGGGCACTGTAGTAGCATTTTGAGAACAATGACAATCATGTTTGAAGGGATAGTGGATGTATCTTATAACTGCATTTTGTTTGTCTCCAAAGAATATTCTCTGACTGCATTGCCTTCTAAATTAAAGCATTGAGCACTATATTAACTGGAATCCTTAAAGATTTATAATAATTTCAGATGAAACAATCAGCTATTAAAAACAGACTCATGTATTGGGCCAGCAGGTTAAGATGGTTAAGGCCCTGGATCCCACATAGCCATTGTGCTGTTGGCTTATAAAACATGCTCAGCACGTGTACGTGTGTGCCCAAAATCCCAAGAGGAGAATGAAAGAGAAGGAATTGTGGTGTGGCTATTCCCTCTGAGGGATGATTTCTCTTTCTGGCAAGCACACATGATTTAGAGCAAACTTAAAGAAAAAAAAAGACTGATTTTTTTTTTTTTTAAATTATTAGAGGGCTCATGCACTTGATGGAGAGAGACAGAGGGAGAAGAGAGAGAGAGAGAGAGAAAGAAAGAGAAAGTGAGAAACCACAGGGGGATTGGTCATAGTACAGTCTTTTCTTCTCCATTCTCTTCTTGGGATTTTGGGCACACATATGAACCTGACATGTTTTTCAAGCCACCAGGTCTGGGACTTTAACTGAGTAGTTAGCCATGTGGGATCCAGCTGCCTTAACCACTATCAGACCTGTTGGCTGGACTCATGTACATTATGTGGGAGAATGCAATTTTTTTCCTAAAAATTAAAAAATTTGATTATTCCAGAAGTCTATGGCTTATGTGCCTTAAATAGATTTTCAACGTTTGTACCAGAGCATTGAGGGAGGGAGAGGTAATTTTGGAGAAATTCTTTAGAACAGGAGAAAGTAGATTGTGTTTACTAAACCTTTAAAATAAGAAATTTTTTTGAGTAGACAATTCCATTCAAGTTTTGCTTCAGTGACTTGACCCTTAGAAATATTGTAACTTGGAGGGGCCAGCAGGTGTCATGGTGGCTGGGGATGCTTGGATTCCCACGTAGCTGACCATGGTGGCTTACTTTCTCATTTTCCCTCTCTCCCTCTCTCTCAATCCCTCTCTGGTCAGAAAGAAAGAAAGAAAGAAAGAAAGAAAGAAAGAAAGAAAGAAAGAAGGAGGGAGGGAGGAAAGGAAGAAAGAAAATAAATATTTTAAAAAATAAAAAGAAATATTGTAAGTTGGGGACCAGCAGATGGTGTAATGGTTACATCACTGGACTCCCACATAGTCAACCGCAGATTGAGTCCAGGTCCAGGACTTGCACCATAGTCGGTTATTTGGGAGTCCAGTACCTTAACCACCAAACAACCTGCTGGCCCCAGGAAAATTCCATTTAGAATATAAACTGTCTGGTTGCTTATAAGGATAAACATTTGTTTTCAGGCTGACCCTGTGGCCTGGTAGTTAAGGGAGCTGGATATCACATGGCCGATTGTGTGGTTTGAGTCCTGGCTCTGGTGGGACACAAGGTGTGTGCCCATGTATCTGCCCCAAATCCCTATAGGATGAAGATGTGAAGAAGGGATTATGGCGTGACCATGCCCATTGGGGACTGCTTTCTCCCTCTCCTTGCCTTTCTGTCTCCTTCTGGCTAGCACACATGTTCTGTGGCAAATCAGAACAAAACAAAACAAACAACAACTTTAAAAAAAGAAATTTGTTTTTGTTGGCAAGTAGCATATATTAATTGACCAGCTCTGATAGAAGAATAATGGATTTAAAGCTTGTTCTGCCTTCAGGTAGTTCACAAACATACACATGAAACTCTAACAATGGAATAGCAAGTGTTGTGACTTAAGTACAAAGAGCCAGAGGAGTTTAGGGAATGAAAACAGCTTTGTGACTGCAAAGGTCTGCAAAGGAGGTGGGTCTCACACTGAACCAAGAACCAGGTCAAAGAAACAAAAGACCTGAGGGCAGGAATGAGGAGAGAGAAGAACACTGATACAGGCAGTGGAATGGGAAAGGCCAGCCACCTGTGGGGTGCATGTTAGTCCCCACAGTGTCAACAAAGGAAGCATTTACAGACGGATTAACTTGCCTGCATGTCTAATGAAGGCAAATAAACGGGCATATAAATTTCTACCATGAGATATTGCCGCCAACACCCCACCCCCCCCCCCCGGCCAAATCTTCAGAGATGTTTATTTTTCTCTCAGTTCCACACATGGTAAACAATTTTTAAAGAAAACTGGTAGGTTTCAGAAATTAGTCCAGGTTGTGAGCTAGTCTTTTTTTACTCTGATCTAAATTATGATCTATTTTACCCTTTTAAACTGTTGAGAAATCTACGAATATAATAATTTGAAGACAATAATTTTACTACGTTTTATATAATCTTATTTGTTAAACCTTGTAACTATAGATTTATTTTTAATAGTGTATATTTTTTCTTAAACTTTGCCAGAGGGCATGTTTACTCACTGGAGAAAAACAGGGAGGCTGAGAGAAGGGAAGAGAGAGTGAGAGAGGAAAAGTGAGAAAGCATCCTGCTTCCCATGGAGAATGGCAATGCTGCAATCCCTTCTCCATTTCTCCTTTCAGGATTTTGGAAAAGCACACAAGCACACATGCCCAGCATGTTTCTCAAGCTGCTGGGTAAAGGACTCGAACTGCATGGTTAGCCAGGTAGGATACAGACATCTTAACCACCAGGCCACCAGCTGTCCAACCTACTGTATTACTATGAGTACACTGCCCTTCGTCACTCATAATTGATTACTGAAAAGAGCATTAATTACTGCCAGTTACAGGCCATTCAACTGAAAGCACTAAACATATATGTAATGATTATCAAAGATGAAAGGGCAATTATTTTATAGAGATAGAAATTTGAGAGTGTAGATGTGGTTTTTAAAAAAACCTTTATTTATACAGATTCTGACATCCATCCCATCACTCGTGGTTATAATTGATAAAGTTAGGGCTAAGAGGAAAGAAATGAACAGATATTAAAAAGGAGATTAGCAGTTTATTCAAAAGCAATAGTTTTTGGTTTATTTTGACACAGAAACATATAATTCTATTCATAAATACTTCTGCTATCATAGTTGTTTAACATGGGAAATATTAACATGCTTTATGGATAGAATTGCTGTAATAGTCATAGTTATTTTATGTTGAGATATCAGTTGTAAATATTTGTTGAAACATATCTTTTGACTCATCATATCAAGTAATAAATTAACCAGACAGGTTAAGATTTAATCAGATAGTATTCCACTTTGCTCTTGGGATCTTCACATGGTTATGATAACTCGGATGCTGTTAATAATAATAAAGCAATAATTAGTATAAATTTCATGATAAATTTAACCAAAGTCCATGAACACTTTTGATTTTTTTATGTCAAGGTTTGGTCTAATCTATCTTTATGGATACCCAGTTAGCCTAATTTCTTTTACCTCATCATTGCCTTCCATCATGGTATTAATAACATGGTTATATGAAATGCTAGCAAACTGGGATGGAGATGGGGGCCCTCACTTGATGCTGGGCCAGGTCCTCATTGCCCAGTGGTCCTGCCCTCAACCCAGTAGAGTGAGGTTAAAGTCTTAGGATGGTCACTGTGCTTGGCTCCTTGAAGCCAAGGGCAAAGCTGGAACTTGAGGGACTGTGGGGGTTGGGGGTTGGTGTATAGGGATGCTACCTCCTGAAAACCCACATGTTTTTGTCTCTGGATAACTTCAGCATGTAGAAGCAAAGAGGGTGTGAGCCTCAAGAAGGCACTTCCTTATCTCTGACACTACTGCTGGCATGGTAGAATCTGACAACAGCAGGTTGCCCTTTCTTCACCATGGCGCAGAGTCACTGCCTCTGTACAGGCTGGTTGGTCATTTTGACCCCTCCCTTTCCTTCACTTCCTGGCCTCTGTGCCATTGCTATGATAGGAAGGGTCTGCCCTCTCTTGCTTCCTGTACCCATTTGGTGAACACGCCTGGGGAGGCCTGTCGTTTGCCTTCGCTGTTGCCACTTTTCCATCTGTATGGGCAGTTAGGTGGTCTTCTCGGTGGGCTAGAGAGGGAGTAGGAGGCCTCACTCAGGTGTCTACACTTAGGCTCCTGTTCTACCACTCGTTAGCAGTGAAGCCTCCCTAGAAAATGTGGGAGACTTGCCCACCTACTATAAAGTAATGCAAGATTTTGCCCTTGGTGGTCACTTTGGATTCCTTGTGACTACATCCTGTGACTGAGACTCTAGAAGGAGGGGCTGTGGTAGAGGAGCTGTGAGTACCAGGGTCCAAGGCCCCAGGCTCCAACCTAGCTCTTGACTCGAGGAATACTTTTTGTGGTATATTAAGATTGTATAAGTCATTGCAGGGCTTATACACAGTTTACATAATGTAGCTTTAAAAATAGTGTTTATTTTTCATTTATTTTTAGCAACTTCTTTTTTTTTTTGGAGAGGTTTTTGCTATAGGGCGCGTGCGCTCGCCAGACAGACAGAGAGAGACAGAGAGATAGAAAGCAGGAAATCACCCCCCAGGGGGGATGGCCACGCCGCAATCCCTTCTCCTCCATTCTCCTCTCGGGATCTTGGGCACGCACGCACACGCGCCCGGCGTGAGTTTAAGCCACCGGGTCCGGGACTCGAACCGCGGTCGACTACATGGGAGTCCAGCGACATAGCCATTACGCTAACTGCTGGTCCCAGCAACTTCTTTTTGATAGATTGTAGCTAACATGTTTGCTAACTAGGGAGTTCATGATTATGGAGATGTTTTCTCAGATTTCTTCTCCATGAAATAGCCTGGGTCCTCACACAGTGGACCTATATTTTTCTTCTGAGAATTTTTTCTTTTCTTAAAGACAAGGTCTTGCTGTATCACAGTCGTCCTGCCTCAGCTGGAACTGCAGAGCCACACCGTCACACCCCGGGTCTCGCCATGTTGCCCAGGCTTGTGTCAAGCTTAAGATCTTCCTGCCTCAGCCTCTCTAAATTCTGGGATTACAGGCTCCTTCCAGTCCAATTATTACATATATGTTTAGTGGACTTTAAGTTAGATCAGGATTTGAACCCAGGCCTCTTGTGTCATTCTGCCCTGCAGGGCATATCATTTTAGCAGTGTGCACCACCCTAGCTGGGCTCTGTAAAATTTATTCTCTGCTTTAAACTCTTGTCATTTTCATTTCACTTTAGGCTTCTCCCCCATCTCTTTTGCTATGGTGTTTCATTTCTTCATTGCCTTTCATCCCCTCTGTGTAACATTGTTCCTGGTGTTTTTGATATTTGCTTCTATTAAGACTGTGCTTGAACATTTAAACTAAAATCACTAAGCCTGGTCTTACCACCTCCACTTCCTAGGGTTCCCCAAGTTGGAACACTCTATAATCAGTTCTAGGATCTATAATAAGAGTTAGGACACCTTTTACATATTGGATACCTGCCATTCACTTCTCATATCTGTAATTTTTACCCAGTTCTGGTCATGGAGGGCCTAGGGGGCATCCTGTCAATTGCAGGATATGCTCATTCCAGCCTCAGGAGGGGATCTAGCATTATACATTTCTCTCTAAAGAATAGCCCCAACTAAGGTAGCAATTGTTTGTGAAAGGAAATTATATGTTAGCTTTTACCAACCACTCTGTGTTATAAAAGTATATTATAGTATGCGTTAAGGAAATGAGAGCTTTCTTTTTTCCAAATAGTCACTCATTTAAGCATATTCCATACCTCTGATGTGGGGAATGTCAGAAAAGACATATCAGTTAGATCTTTGCATCAAATAAAAATAGAATAGTAAAAAGGTTTTCTAAACTACTGAATTGCCTATTTGGTAATTTACCATTTTCCTTGGTTCATTAGGTCAAATACTTGATGAATTCTTTCAAAAGGCAGGGTATGGGTCACCAATGCATCCAAATTGAACTTCTTATTCTTGTAGTCAGTAACCAGCTTTGGGACAGAATCGACACTTTTCCAACCTGTAGTTTGGCCAAAATGATAAATAAAACGGGCACTTGACATGGAGAAATACTTTTTCTTAAGTTCTAATTTATTTTCTTCATGATAGAGAGCACATATATGCATGTGAGTGTGTGAGAGAGAGAGGGAAGCAAGACTCAATAGAGTCTGGTCATAATATGATCCACTTTTTCCAGTCCTGCAACTTCTTAGGATCTTGGGCATACCCTGTGTGTTCGAAGTCAACCCAGGGCTCTGAAGCCATGGGCAGCCATTTGGTGTCCAGCACTTAATTCAGTACACCACTGACTGTCACCAGGCTGGTCCAAGAAATACTTAAATCCGTGTTTATTGAATGAACGAAACTATTAGGTCAGATTTAGGTTGCTTCAAACAGATTAAACTGCTCCCTTCGGGGACCAGCAGGTGGCATGGTGGTTAAGGTGCTGGACACTCCCACATAGCCGACCAGGGTTTGAGTCCTGAATCTGGTGGCTTGCTTTCTCACTTCCTCTCTCTCTCACTCTCACCCTCTGTTTCTCTCTGGTCAAACTAAAGAATAAATGAATGAATAAATAAAATAAAATAAATAATTAAAAAAAACTGCTCCTTTCTAGCTTTAACTTTCTGTGCTTTTATCTATTTAAACATTTTTTCTTACAAAGAATAATTTTCTACTCTAAAAAAGGAATTATATCAATTTTTTTGTTTTATTTATTTTATATACTTTCACTGGACATCACCACAGCATACAAAAATGCGATTTTCCAGCCAGAATACACTGTAGAGTGGCTTAAACATACATGTTATTGTCAACATATAATTTTCTATTTCTCATACATATACACACATATATATATAAATATATGCTTCTTGTAATATATATATATATATTCCTTCCTCTTTCTCACCCTCTGCCTTTTCCCATCCTCTTCTCACCCTGTCTCTTGTTTCTGCGGTTGCTTTCTATTCCTTTATTCTTTCCCACATTGTATTGATTCACAAAATATCTTAATTAATCTAAGTACTGTCAATAGTAAGTTCAGCTGATATATACATATCTGTGAACAAAAGTTGACTTTAGACAGTCAGTAATGTTTTAGTCAAAAATCATAGAATTCTCTTTCACCAGTTCAAGCTCATGTACTTTATGTTCTGCTGTGGTCCGATCTCTGTTTAAATTCAGGAGATAACATTCATCTCTGTACTTGTCCCTACCATTAGCTCTTTTTAAAAATTTTTATTTATTCATTTATTTATTTCAAGTTGACCAGGGAGGGACAGAGCGAGAGAGCAAGAGAGCAAGAGAACGAGAGTGAGAGCAAGAGAGCGAGAGCGAGAGTGAGAAAGTGAAAAAGCAAACCGCCTGGTCCAGGATTTGAATTGTGGTCGGCCATATGGGAGTCCAGTGCTCTTAACCACCACACAACCTGCCAGCCCCAATTTTATGTAGTCTTTAGATATATTTTAGGCACTCAGCATTTAAACAAATTATTTTCCTTTCTTCTCAATAATCTTTAAGATTTTCAGTACTGGGACCAACAGATGGCATAATGGTTACATTGCTGGACTCCCACGTAGTTGACTGTGGTTTGAGTCTTGGATCCAGTGGCTGAAAACTCATGGCATACGTGTGTGCATGTGTGCCCCAAATCCTGAGAGAATGGAGGAGAAGGGATTGTGGTAAGGCCCTCCTCCCCGGGGGTGATTTCTCACTTTCTCTCTCTCTCTCTCTCCGGCAGGCACATGCACCCTACAACAAAAATCTCTCTTAAAAAAAATTCAGTACTATTGGGAACCAGCAGTTAGCGTAATGGCTATGTCGCTGGACTCCCATGTAGTCGACCGCGGTTCGCGTCCCGGACCCGGTGGCTTAAAACTCACACTGGGCATGTGTGCGTGCGTGCCCAAGATCCCGAGAGGAGAATGGAGGAGACTGCGGCGTGACCATCCCCCCTGGGGGGTGATTTCTCACTTTCTGTCTCTATGTCTCTGTCTGTCTGGCGAGCGCATGTGTCCTATAGTGAAAATCTCTTCAAAAAAAAAAAAAATTCAGTACTATTAGGAAGAAAATGTAAAACTATGAAAAAATAATACTGACCACCAAAGTATGTTCCATTTATAGTACGGCCCATTATTACATCCACTGGGAAAATATTCAATCCATTGTCACCAACGCCTACTCCAATGAACGTACATGATCCCCAGCCTATTGTAGTGCATTCCAGAGCTGCTTTCTGAAAGATCAAACAAAAGAATCTACCTGAGTATGTGAAAATGGAGAACATGAAATCTAGCATGGGCACATGCATGCAATACTTTAGGGAAAATCTTTTCAACTCTGCATTCATAATGGCAGTCAAGCTAATTAGGTGGTACTCTCATTACACATTGAGCCATAAGGCTCTCAAGGTCTATTATAGATAGAACATTCAATACAGTTTTGAGCTTCATAAAGATTTTGCAAAGAGAACATATTATTTTACATTATCTAGTATAATTAGGCTCAATCCAGAATGTATATTATTGTATATTAAGAGAAACATGCATACATGAAGTTAGGGAAGATCTATAAAATATAAACTTTAATCAGCAAGTTTTTGTTTATCTACCATGAGGTAATATTTACAATTCCAAGGGCCTAGGATCAAAATATTTTGTGAAGACACAGTAAATAAGTAGTTATTCACTGGAGCATAATAAATGAGGTATACACTGTATACCTAGTAGATTTCAAGGTACGATATTATAAAATGCTGTTTAAAATAGAGGACAAAATACTTGTAGACAATAATATGGGACGTTGCTTATCAAATACTTTCTCTGCTTCCCTACATCTTTTAGCCCGTCTGCAGTGTGGCTGCAGCCTGCTGGCCATCCTTTCTCTTGCTATAACAACTAAGATATCTCATATTGAGATTGTAAAGCTACATACTGGACTTCCTTGATTGTGGAGGAGAATTTCCCGGACCTACATTCATCATAGTGTAGAGAAGGAGAAAACATTGTTACGTTAACCTCCTGGAAGTGGGGGTCAATATAAAAATGCCAAGGGTTAAAAATGTAAAGTTTGAAAAGATAAACCTTGTGGATGACCATTCCTCATAAAAGCCCTAAAATAAATAGAACATTTTAATTGTTTGAGACTGATATTATAGAAGAAAAGCATAAACTTTTTCTTGTATTCCTTGTGGTCAACTTGATACTGACCTGTTTGGGCCATTTTTAGTTTTAGAAAAGTCTTAATAGAAAGGATAGCTCTTTCTCATTACTGATTACTGTGTGGCAGAAGCAGTTTGAAGTAGTAAATCCTCTCTCTGTCTGGTGATCACATCTAGTAGATGATGTAATGACCTTGACTTTTAAAAATGTGTTTTGAAATTTTTATTTGAATGTTTTTTTTTTTTTTCCCCTAATACTTCTAAATTCTACATTTCTGGGCTTTTCTCCAAGTAAGGCATTAACCTCTGTAATGATGACTTAGTTGAAGTGGGTACTCCCTTCTAAGGATAGTGAGATGCTTTCTATCCCTGCCTGCAAAAGGCTCTTTCTTTGACCCACTACGTAGACTTCCTGCACTCCACACTGGGAAATAAAGCTCACCATTAAAAAAAAAAAAGCCAATTACACAGATAAAACAGAGTTTTACATAGCAGCCTCTGATTACTTTGATGAGAACTGTTTTTTGTTGAATTGACAAAACCTTATAGAATTGTCAATTAGTATAATTTTATAATTGTTCTGTTAGATTTTTAGGCTGCTTTTGAGGGTTAGAGGTAATCGAGATCAAGTTTGTGTCCATTACCTGAATTTCCTCTGTAACCCAGAAACACAGCTTTTCCTAGTTGTGGAAACTTTTGGTGGGAAGTAGGTAGTTCATCATTTTGTGACTAAATACATCCATTCTTTTTATTTGGATTCTCTAATATAATTCTGCTCTGTAACTTGAAATGCCTTTTGGGGTTATCTAAATCAATTAGTAATAGAACATGCTGAATTTTGAATCAACAGTCCTCAACTTGAGAAATCTGTGAGCGAATACTGGTATTGGGCCCCAACTCATGAGACTGTCCTGGGTAATGGCCCATTCACTGTTCTTTAAAAACAAAACAAAACAGTGAAACAGCAACAAAAAACTCCACAGGTAATTCTGCCATATAGCCAGTGTTGAGAATTTCTGTATAGAAAGGTAAGGAAAATAGGCTGAATTTCAATGTTTATAAAAAAAATCTGAGCTGTGAGAAGGGGCGGATCAGATGCTGCATGTTGCAGGCTGCCAACGCCATAGTCGATTCAGGTAGGGCCTGAAGCAGAGAGCAGCGCAAGGCCTGTGTCCTCGGTTACGCTCCTGTTTCCCGAGTGCTCATTACCTACTGGATACTGATTGCAGCAGTTTGTAGGTAGAGCAATGAAGCTGTTCTGAGAACCACCGAGCAACAGCAGCCTGCTGCTTCCCCCATCTCTCCTCCCGGGTCTGTTGTTTTTTGGATAATGCCCGGTTCCGTAAGAGCCAAGGGAAAGAATCAGCACAAAATCTACTTCTATGAGTCTGGGGTAGAGAACTGCATTCTTTCTGTCTCCCCTATGAAAGGCTAGAGGAGCAGGCTGAGTGAGGGTGTAAGGATCTACAGGCAGCTAATTCACTCAAATTATTTGGTCATTTCACTAAAAGACTAAAACCAAAAACAAATTCAGAAAACTCGGCTTGGTTTCTTTGACAAATATGCACTAGGTGCTAATTCTCTGATTCCCTGTCAGCAGTTTTGAAAATGTTAAGAAGAAATGATGATAGCCACCGTTAGGAGCATGACCTGCCCTCCTCTATTATTTGATGGCCAAAGAATAATTTGAAAGTAAGATCCAAGGGGAAAATATACGTACCATGGCTTCGGATCCACCTGCACAGTCAAGGGCAAAATCCACACCGCCATTGGTCAGCTCAGTTATCACCTTCTGGATGGGTTTATCTAGGTCTCTAGGATTGAGGCAGTCAGTGGCTCCCAGAGCTTTGGCCTTTGTAAACTTCTCACTGTTGATGTCCACAGCTATGATTCTTGAAGCTCCTGCTGCTTTACAACCCATTATAGCAGAAAGACCAACACCTCCTAGGCCAAAGACAGCACAAGTAGAACCAGGGCTGACCTGTAGACAGATGATTATAAAGTAACTTTTCATTTTTAAACAATTGCTGGAGGGTGTGTACTTGCTGGTGGGGGAGGGGATCCTGGGCATGCATGCACACATACCTGGTGTGTTTTTCAAGCCTTTCGGCCCAGGACTCGAATTGCACAGTGGGATCCAGTGCCTTAACCACCATACTGCTGGCTGGTTCTAAAGTAACTTTAAAAGCAGTTGGTCCTACCTTATTTTTTTGTTTAATGGGGAGGGTAAGATGAGGACATGACTATATAAATTGAAGACTGCCTGTTATGAAGCTATATGCTGGGGCTGACAGGTGGCGTGGTGGTTAAGGGTGTTGGACTCCCACATGGCGCTTGCAGTTAGAGTCTCGGACCTGGTAGCTTGTTTTCTCAACACCCCCCCACCCCCTTTTCTCTGTCTTTCTCTGTTTAAATTAAAAATAAATAAGTAAATAAATAAAGTTGAATAAAATCATCCTTTAAAAAAATCTATATGTTATAGCCAATGGAAGAAATCTGGCCATGTGAAAATGGACACATTACTATATCTACATTTGGAGACTCATTTAAGGGCCATTAAGATTATCAGCTCATTGGGACCAGCAGGTGGCATGCTGGTTGAGGCACTAGACTCCCATATGGCCAGCTGTGGTTTGAGTCCTGGACCCGGCAGCTTGCTTTCTCACTTTCTCTCTCTCTCTGTTTTTCTCTCTCTGTTTCTCTCTGGTGAGCACATGCGCCCTATAGAAAAACTAATAATAGCAATAAATAAAATAATATAAAAATTAAAAAATTATCAGCTCATAAGGAACAAACCCAAGTGAAAATGATCCTCATGTTTTACTTTTCCCTTCAGTGTTCCAAAGAGCTTACTGTTTTTTTTTTAAAAATTAGATCATGAGGGGCTGGGAGGTGGCATGGTAGTTAAGGGTGCTGCACCCACATGACCGACAACGATTCGAGTCCTGGACCTGGTGGTTATAAAATTTGCCTAAAGTCACAGAGGTAATAGAGGATTTAGCCAGAATTCGAAGATAATAAACTCTAGTTCCTTTATATCACACCGCTCCCTAGTAACTTCAGTTTTACACAATCTGGAGTGTAAGCATTTACCTTGGCAGTGTTGATGGCAGCCCCGTAGCCAGTTGAAAATCCACATCCAATCAGACAGACTCTCTCTAAATTTGCATCATCATCTATTTTGGCAAGTTTAAAATCTGATACCACCGTGTACTGAGAGAATGTACTGACTCCCATAAAATGGTAAATGGGTTTTCCTTTGCAGGTAAACCTGCTGGTTCTGTCTTCCATTAATTCTTGGTCAGCAACAGGATCTTTCACTTTGCTAGAAAATTTTTAAAAAGAGAGATACAAAGAAGGAAAAAGTAAATGAAACACTGGTCACTTTCCTAGAAAATATGTTAGGCAAAATATGTTTGGCATAATTTTATAAGATGAAAAAAAATTGAGAAAATAACTTGAGACTTTTCACATTAATATACAGACTATTCGAAGTATTTTAAAGATTAAAAACAACAAACTCTTATTGAATACCTTTTGTGTGACAGATTCTTATAAGGGCTTTTCATGTGTTAACTCTTAAAATGATCTTTTATTATGGAAAAATTAAACAAACAAAGGTAGAAAACAGTGCATAATGAACCCTCTTGAACCCCCACGCATCCAGTAACTGCTTCCTCATGGCCAGTGTATTTTCTCTGTTATCATCTATAATGCGTCTTGCTCCCATCCTCACCTTGAACTATTTGAAGCAAATCCCAGGCAGCACTGTTTCATCTGTCAATATTTCAGTATGTATCTCCAAAAGTGTTTCTAAGTCTACATATTATATTTGGTGGACATGTCTCTTAATTTACAGGTTCTTCTTTCCTCCTTTCTTTCTCCTTGCAATTTATTTATTGAAGAAACGGAATCATTTGTCCGTAGAAGCTTCCTGGATTATGCTGATTACATTCCTGAAATCTAGTTTAACTTTTCTCTGCTTCTATTTTACTCCTAATTAGTATTAATATTTTTTACCTAAAAACTTAATCTGATCCAGGTTTTATATTTTGTGGAACATAATATCTGATTCTCTTTTTGGGTTATTAGAAAGAATTGATTGTGAGGCCAGCAGATGGCATAATGGTTATGTTGCTGGACTCCCACATAGTCAACTGTGGTTTGAGTCCTGGATCTGGCAGCTTAAAAACTCACACTGGGCCCATATGCATGCATGCCCAAAATCCCAAGAGGAGAATGGAGGAAGAGGGATTGCAGCATTGCCATCTCCCCTGGGAGATGATTTCTCACTTTCTATCTCTGTCTCTTGGGTGAACACATGTACCCTATAGCAAATTATCTCTCTAAAAAAAGAAAGAATTTATTGCCATTATTTAAATCTGTTATTTCATGAATGATTTGCCAAAGAGTATGTTAACTTTTTTTTGAATATCTACAACAACCCTATTAAGCAGGCATTATTATCTCTATTTTACAAGTGAAGAAACTGAGCCATGGTCATAAATGTAAGAATAGTACAGTTTTAACTTCTTTCTTAAAAAATATTTTACTTAACTTTATTTATTTATTTTAATTTGAGCAGAGAGGGACAGAACAAGAGAGTGAGACAGAGAGTGAGAAAGCAAGCTGCCAGGTCTGGGACTGAAACTCTAGTCGGCCATGTGGGGAATCCAGCGCCCTTAACCACCACCCCACTGGCTGGCCCCAGTTTTAGCTTCTTAAAGCCGAACTAGTTTCGATTGACATTAAGGACAAATGGATTTCTATAGCCTCAGTAAAAACAGGGTGATTTCAGACTCTGGGGATGTCCAACATAGGGTGAAAACCTGGCTCCAAGACTTACATTTTTGTGGCCTTTGAATAAGTTACTGTTTCTCCTTGTTTCCCACTTTCATTCCTGTGGAGGTAACTAATGTTTTAAATTCGGCATTTGTCATGGTAGTAATGTATTTGCAGTTGTACTACATACAGAAAGTACCATAAGCAATGGGTGGTATTATTTTGCATATGACACCTTACTAAATATATATCCTTTGGCAACTTGCTTCTTTCCTTTAACATTATGTGTGTGTGATTTTTCTAGAGATGTGATAGTTCAAAAGTAGCTGTTTTCATTGGTGTGTAGCATTCCATTGTGTTACAGTGTAGCAGTTTACTAATCTGTTCTCTTACTGGTGTGTATTTGTATTGTTTTCCATTGCTTCCTATCAAAAGCAAGGTTGGGATGAGGACAGCATGTGTCTTTCTGCCTGCGTTTGCAACAGTGTAAGAGTAGATAGAGTTGGTGGGTGGAAGGTTTGTACCTCTTAACCTGATTCAGGTATAGCTAATGGGCTGCCCAAAGTATTTGCTACAGGTTATACTCTTACCAACAATGTACAGAGCTTACCTGAGTTTTTCACATAAATTTGTGAGTGGACTCAGACAGAACTTGCATTTTTTACATTGAGGTGCGTAGAGTGGAATTACTTTGTCACCTAGAAGGAAAGACCATATGTGAAATAATGCCCAAGATGTTGCTTATAAATAACTATCCTACCAAATAGATAAATCAGTGGAAAACAACATTCTCTGTAGTACATGTTTTATAACCAGAAGAAATTACAGGTGACTATAATCTCTTATTTTTTTACTAGACTGGGGATTCTCCAAAGTATTATATACATTATCTTTTTTTTTTTTAATGTAAATGACTCTGCTGGACAGTAAAGCAAGAAATCTGTGTTGGTATCATCAGGTGCAAAGTCCTGCCTTAGACTTTGCTGTCATAGCAACCCTCTGCTTCATGACTGTTGTCAGTTACCTCTCCAAACACCCGGAAGGTAGCAGAACCACCTTATATGATAGGAAAGGCAAACAGCAATCAGCCAGATATGGATAGTGATCTTATGTTATTGCCATAGCTTGCTGTTGAGCTTCATTCTAGAGCGTCCTATTTTCCTTCCTTTTATGCAATTCATTTAATAGTGGCTTCTGTCCTTTGATGACCAAAGTCCAGGCATGATCATTTGCACGATCATTTACATCTGTTCAATACCTACCATGTGCCAGGTACCATTCTGACTGCTAGCCATGTATTATCTCACCTAATTCTCAGAACAGCCCTCTGAGATGGACACTGTTGTACGTTAGAAAATAGAAGTAGGAGCCAAGACATGGAAATATGACTTAACTGGCCAAGGTCACACAGCTGGTAAGCGGCAGAGCTGCAGCTAAAGGGATGACATTGGCCAGACCCCTTGGGGGATTCAAAGTCTGAGGGAGCGATTGGTTTGTTATCTTTTGTTTGATCTTTTTTGAAACAGAAAGGTATTAATATATTAATATACCTCTGAGTCTAAAGCATTCTCATTAAAGGAGGAAAGAGT